ACTACGTTACCTCAAAATACCGTAGCTCGGCCTTGGGCCAATCAGCAACCGCCTGAATCTCTGGTAGAAGGATAGTGTCAACTAGGGTTTTCTTTTCTCTTCTATCTACATCACGAACATTGCCTCTTAATACTTTTTTGCTTGATCTGCATCGCTACATGTAATTTAGTGCCGCAGAAAATGGAAAATACTCTTCAGCCAGAAATTCACCACTTGAATAGAACGTGTAGTGTCAATGTTTACAGCTGATGCTTCGCCTCATAAGTCTTGACAATATATCACCATATATACTACAATATATGATATCTGCATAAAATATTATTTTTAATTATTTTTTGATATAATTTTCTATTATATTAATTTTGAGGATCATTAATAATAATATTCTAGAATTACTCTTAATTTAGAATTTCTGGTGAATCAGTTTGAATGGAATTAGATTCAATCTCTCAAGAAAGCAGTAATATGTACGAAGATGATTTAGATATAATACTCAGACATCATCGTCTCCGATGAGAAGAATTATGACGAGACTCAAAGGAGAGCTACTGCAATTCTAGAAACTACTCTTTTTAGTGAGACACTAATACATCAAAGTACGTGTTGTGTCATCAGATATTACCATGATAGACATCTGCAAGGACTGACAATAGAGATTTGTACCCCAAAAAACGTAATGACACAAGAAAACTTCGTTAGTGCCGATTTGGAGTTTCAATTTCTAAACATAATGTCACTTCTAATAGTTAATTTTAATTTACGTAATATAAAGTTTGCAACTATCTGTCATCTGAATGATGCTGTACTGATTCACCGTGATGTGGATTCCACTGAAAAGCATTTGAATGCTGCACCAACATTCTAATATGTAAATCTCTTTGAGCTATATATCATCAATACTATGAATTTAATGAATATTGCAATTGGAATCTCATATATGAGTGCAAGTCTTTATACAAATATCGAAGAACTTCTGAAAGTGGAATCAAAACAAGAAGCTTTACTAAGATTCTCTATCCGAGCTAGAATACCAGATCTGACTAGTCTGTTTTATATATTGTGACTATGTAATTCATGTCATCGTTCTATTTCTAGACGTGCCTACACCTGAGCAATAGCTGAAGTGTCCCGTCCTCTTCTTTCTATATCAATAGTGAGCATTAATTCAGACTGTTGAAATTGTCGTGCTCCAGCATAGAAGTGGAGATATATCAGCAGGTAATGGGATGATCTGAAGGACGGACTAAACTCCTTCCTACAATCGAACAAACTCACTTACGAATGATGAAAGTTGCAAGTCTTCAGATATAGTTATCTATATAATCTGTACTGTTGGTATGGGCCGATCCTGATATCGCGTATCTGTTTGAATTATGAGGAAAGCTGATAATACAATCGGGACAAGAAATTTTACATTAAGTGTGTAGATAACTCGAAACATCTCGTACTATTCCAAGAGATAACGGTAAATACCAACCAAATGCTCTCTTGAGGATTATATATGAAATATGATAACAACATCCCATATCCTATCGAGGAGATTCTCAGTAATAGAACTGTCTCATCCTAGTGTTTCATATTCTTCGTCACGTGCATAGCCAAAAAAAAACTGGAGGTAACACCTGCCCCATGTACTTTCCAGCAGTCTTCTGCTCTATCGCGTCCAAATAGCGATATGTAGTAAAATCTAACATAAGTGAACATGGAGTGACACACATTCTCCGGACCTAAGTCCAACTGCCCCATACTGCATATGGTCTTACCAATTTACGAACTTCTATGTCCAAAAGCAATAACCATAAGCAAAACTCACTTTGCTTTCTAACTGACACTTCATATCTTATTTGGGCCTCATACAGACCAGCCAATCCATGCCCAAAATCACATCCTAACGCTGAGAAATAATAATAAGCCCTTAAATAAATGAGCTACATCCCATAATCAGATGAATTATTCTAACTGCTCTTCCCAGATACCTCCTACTCAATCATGACTATAAAATAACAACCAAAAGCTTCTATCACCTAGTGGGAGAGCACAAATCATGCATTATTATACTTCACAGAACAACACGTCAATAGTTTATAGCACGGTGAAATGATGATAAAACCACGAGAGGCACCATGTAGAAATGCGAATGTTCACAAAGTCAAACTTGTGAAAGCATCAAATATCACCCCGCTGAAATGACTCCAATTGAGTCCATAAAACCAAAAATCTCCATCAGTCCGACGAAAAATGTGGAGCGTAGAGCAGTCCAAAGTACGAATACAAAATATAAGATCATGTCTGCGTATATTTCTGGTATTCAAATAGTAAATTGTTAAATCTGTCCCATGTCCATAATCCAATGCCTAAATTAGCCGTTAAGTCACGAATTATTCATTTAGAGACACGAGCCATTAATCTGCTGAAACAAATCTAGGCTAGTGAAAAACTATCTCCGTGGCTGAAACTGGAGATAGAGCTGAGCTGCTCAGAGCAACAAAGCAATCTTACTGGCGACTCTATCTTCGGTGGCATCAGTACACGTATTTAGTGGCTGGATTCTCCTGTAGTGGTATCAATAGATCGTCCAAATACCTAGACTACTCACTCCATACCCTCCTTTGACCCTCAACCAATTTCTTATTGATGTTCTACACAAGTTACCTTTCAATACTTCTAACTCGAGAAGAGCGATCTTGGATTAACACGAACTAGATCCATTGATTAAATAACTGCCTCAACGCTGAATCTTACCAAGAAGAGGACACAGAGCATCTCGACAAAAAAAGGCCCCAGAATATAGCTATGCATATCTCAAGATATACTGTTCTGTTATTTCGTAAGTCCTCTCTAACATTAGTGTCTGTATAGATGCAGTGTAAAACAATCCCTAACTCTAACCATAGTATACATATCAAGAACAATATCCTCAACCTCAACCAGCTCACTCAATACTATGAATCCGCCTATGTCTTTCTGTTTGATAGAAGGAAAGATTCCAAAATCTGGGAAGGCCCAAGAAGCTCAAATCTATTAAGTCATACTCCGAACTACTTCGCGAGATACCAAATGCGTCACGCACTGATGCCAAGGTGTCAAGATAAAAAGCCTATTGTACTTCTGAGTAAGTCTTATCCATAGGTGCTGAAAAATATGAGAAAACTCCTTAAACTTATGAATGAGTCACCCATACCTCCAATGTACAGATCCGTTCATTCTCTCAGCAACAACCAACGAGTGGCTAGTAAACATCACCTGACAGACCTCTCATATTTGATCTTCAGTGCAGTTCTGAACTCTGGGTATCGCAAATAAGAATAACCAGACAGATCCTCCACCCCAATCTTCCACCACTTCCGAGATGTGTCTATCCTGATCAATAGAAACAGATCTTTATACCACCTCTCCATGTTACAACCAGGACCTCAACAGCTATTACCACTATGGCGCGTGAAGTGCCTTTCGTGCCTCCAAATATCTTTGCTCTCGCACTGCAGCCCTCCCACCGCTAGGCTTTCCTCAAATGTAAACACCTATTCAGTAGATACTTAATTCTCTAGGTCAAAAGATACCGATGTCTCGCAATCAGCAACATCAAGCTCAGAAAAGTCAGTGTTATACGACGGTATTTAAATACACACCAAAAATATCATTATAAAAAAATAATCAATAAAAATTAATATAGTAATTATCTATATGAAAAAAAAAATACTACTAGATTCATTAATAGATCAATTAAAGATAAAAATGGTATAATTAGCACACCAAAAAATAGCAATTGTATATTCAAAAAACATCATAGTGTTACGTATCGAAAATAGTAACATAAGCACATCTTACATACCAACAATTCATACAATCTTTCTTCCCCTCTCACCTGAAGTACCTAACACAGAACAAATCCTTTGAAAATATAGAAAGAACCCTAACCAAGGTGATATAAATAGATACATCAATCTGATGATAGTGGATCTTATTCTTGATAGTAACATTTTGATTCTAACTCTGTTGTTATCAATAACATTTATCATCCTTTTATTCACAATAACACCGCTGCACCAACTAGCGGAAGAAACATATAGGGTGAACACAAATAGCAATCCTCCAGTATGCTATATCTACGTCCATGATACGGCTACAAAACTTAGACATATTCCCCTGAGTTTTCTTTGGTGTAATAGCAATCTCTGGAACTTGGTGTTAAATAAGTACATAAACCATGTTACTGCCAAAACCGATCTTAAGACAAATTCAAAATAAATTAACTGCCCTAGTCTTATCATCAAGAGGTGAATATGAACACTAGGTTAAACTCAAGCTTCATTCCAGGAACTACAAATCCATATCTGTAACACAAATATAATACTAAATTCGAGCCGATAATTCTTAGCTCGCTCGAACGTAGAATAGACACTCCAGCCTCTAGTGTCAAACTCATTAACTCTGCAGTACTACCCGGATGCAAAATACATACCATCTTCTTCATTAGACGCCTCTAATGTACCTTTAATGGTCAAGGAGAATAAGGAATAATGATAAGAGAAGACATCTACTAAGCTACCACCTAAAATAATAATCACTCAGATTATCACCTATCAAGCCGTGAAACTTCTTACAATCAAACAAACAGAATAATTCGAGAACGTTAGTTTAATGTACAAATTCCAAATATGAATGAAAGACTGGCCTTAACCTGACCACATGCAACAAACAATTCTCCCATACAAAAATATAGTCTAACTCAGAGAAACGTCTCCAGGGATACATAAACTATTAAAATAGGATCCAAAACTAAGATATTGCACTTCCTGTCGTGTTTTAATAAAATCTAATAATAACAGATGACAACTGTCTATTGGTATTATCGTATGTCTCTGATACTTGAGACAAAGTCTTCAAACTCATATAGTACGACCGAGAATCTTTCAGCCATACATCTCATTCAACGCTAGATCGTCACTAGTGTAGGGGTGAATAACAAGTCAGAAAGAACAGCGCCGCTCCATCAAAAATTCACGGAAAAAATGTAATTCAGCCTCAAAACATATAATCTAAAGAGTATGGGATGTCTGATCTGGTAATTTCATCAAAGACTATTACTGATACCTACATGTTGCTAGCAAGCTTACTTGCTCAGTTTCAGGAATGCTCATACTTGAGTCAAAT